TTGCGACGTCGGCTGGACCGATGGTAGATGAGCACGCCGCCCGGGCATCGAGCCGCTCGTGCCACGAAGGTTTTCAGGCTGCTCGGACGCAGCGCGGCGCCGAAAGTAGGTGCAGCTTACCTTCGCACCATTTGCAACGGGTGGTGCACACAGCGCCGCTTTCAAGGCACTGGCAGGCGCGTGTTTGGTTGCGGCCACTATGAGGACAGCCTACAACATTATGCACGGTGCACGGTTGTTAGTGACATTTTTGCTGCTAACTTTTATTGGCCTGCTGTGGATTCGGCTTGGGCGCTTGATTTTTTCATGTGCATGCGGTCGAGCACCAACCAAGCGGAGAGGAACGGGGAACCCCCCGTCCTACAGCGAGCTCGTGCCCTCTTCCTCTCTATCGCTTTCAGAACGGCAGTCGACACGGCCTTTTCACTCCTCTGGAAGATCTTTGGGCTTTCCGCAGCTACCTCCGCGTAGGGTCGCAGTAGCTGTTCTCCTTGTTTCTGCCTTTTCTTCCTCTCCTCCTCCTCCGCCCTGAGGCGCCTTCTCCCCGTCCCCTCCCGGAGGGTGGCCGGGGCGTCCGGGGACCCCCAACTGGCCCCTTGAGGGCCCCAACCGGGCTCCGAGTGGCCCCCAGGGGGGTTCCGAAACCTGCCCACATGTGACACCTCCCTTCCCCCTTGTTGGGGTCGGTGTCGAGTTAAAGATGCGCTGGTTTTGGGGCTCTCGTTGGGGGCCTCTTGGTGCCGTTTGGTGCCCTCCCCGGGGCCTGTTGGGCCGTTCTGGGGTGTCTGCAACTGCTTTGTCTCGAGGCAGATCGCTGACAGCGTTGGTATCGACGCTCGTCGTGCTTGATCTACCCTCCCTGGTACGAAGATGTCTTGTGTAGCTGCCAGCTGAACATTTTTTGGATTCTGCTTGCTCTCAGTTCCAATTGTGCTTCGCTGATTTGGCACTGGCTCGCCGGCGGCCGCCGCCTCGCGATTTCCACACTGGACGTGTGAGCTTGCATGTTGTCAGTCTGTCCTTCCCCTCCTCCTCCTCCTCCTCCTTCCTCCTTTTCCTCCTCCATTGCGGCTGCCTTTTCTGTGCCTGACTGGGGTGAATCGGGTCTGCAGCCTACTACTTGCTTGTCTGTGTTCCTCCTCCTCTATTCCGCTTTTCTGCTTTCCCCGCGGCGGGAAAAGAGCCACGTTTTGTTGGGAGAGTGTTCTCTTAAGCAGTGGCGGAAAATCGCCCGCGCGCCGAGTCCGTGACATTTGTTTGTGCCCCTGCAGTCCTGGCTGGATTTGTCCGGCGGTGGCGTTGCAGGCAGCTGACGGCGAGTGGCTTCTGGCTGGTGCTTCGCGTTTTCCCTGACCTTCCCTTCCCCCCAACAAAAAATTGCAAGCGTTTCGCGGATGGAGGGCGGGTCGTTTTCAAAATGTGGTTCTCGCTTTAGCGCCGTGCACATCCGTAGTAAAACATTGCAAGAGTTTCACGGATGGATGGCCGGTCGTTTTCAACATGTGGCTCTCGCTTTAGCGCCGCGCACACTTGTCGCAAAAGATGCAAGAGAGTTTCACAGAAGGAGAGTTTCACAGATGGAGGCTGTTCTTTTCAAAGTGTGGATCTCGCCTTAGCGCCGAACGGATTCGTTTTAAGAGTGTACGGCAGTTTCATCATCAATCGTGGTTTTGGCACGATGTTGCACTGTCAGGGGGCAACGGTGGTTCGCGGCGTGGAAGTCCCATGAATGGTGTTCTGGCACAGTTCCAGATTTTCAAACGGTTGTTTGCCAACGGGGTATTACCTTTAGCAGAAATGACCTCTTGTAGGGACCTATATGGATAGGGAACTTGGAGGGAGGGTGTACTGCAATATGTTGATGAGTCTTGGGTTTGCCCTGGTCCTCCTCCTCCTTCTCGTCCTCCTCCTCCTCCACCTCCTCCTCCTCCTTTCTGCGTGCGCTGTGCTCGGTGCGACGCTGAAGGATGAAAGAAACAGTTCGCGGCTCCCACATCACAGGAACACTCGGCCGACACGTTTCCCGTCGGCCTTTACAGCGGGCCCCCTGCTTTTGGGGTGCTGTAGCCCGGCTTTGTGCGCAGAGTGGCGTGCAAGTGCGTCGAGCTCATCTAACGCAACAATTTCTTCGTCATGCAAAGGTGCACAGGTGGTCAACACCCAGTCGCCACACTGGTTGGCATTTTCAGGTGAGCAAGCAGCCGGAGTCTTGTCGAGGAATGGTGTGACACGCCTGGCACTTGCAATCGCGGCCAGCATACAAACGCATGATATTCCTCACGCCGTGCTTGACACGCATGTGGGTTTGCAGCGCCTGCCTGGTTCCAAAAGCTCTGTCACTGCAGTGCGTGCACGAGCACGATGCGACCGGTGGTCGCGCACCTTCGCTGGAGCGTTGAGTGTCACAAACAGAATTTGTGAAAAAGAGTTGTGACACGATCGAATCTCATTCCCCGGCGCGGTCGCGCAGAAACGCCTGCCACGCCTCCAGGCACGCGTCCGGCAGACGCGGTCAACCCTTTCGTGCAGCAGCCTCAGGTCCGTCCCGGCCTGCTGCGCCCAGGGGAAAGCTCTGGTCTCTGAGCGACAGCGTGGCCTTCGAAGGGTGCGAAGACGACCGCTCCAGTCTTCCCAGGTACCCGAGGCTGCGTTTCGCAAGCTCGCAATCGATCGGAGGGATGCCGAACTCGCTCCGGACTGTCAAGTCTGACCTCTCGCTCCCATCGAACCGAACAGCATCGGCGATTCATCCGTGCACAGGCACGTAAGTAGCGTTCAAGGCCTTCAGCTCAGGCACGCTGTAACACCTCAAATGCGCATTGAACAGCAGCATGGAGAAGACAAGACTCTCACGGAGCGAACGTTTCACCACCATTTCAAGTTCCCTCCACCCGAAGACGCGTCTACATATTGGCACATATGCATCCATGGACTTACTGCTGCGCGTTTTGGCATTGGCGAGGTTGCCGCCTTTCGCCTCGACGTCGCTGCCAAGATTGGCGTGCACCCCCAACGAGATGCACGACATCAGCGGAACCCGGCATTGGCAAGACTGGACCCTTGTCGGGCTGCAGGGCCTGCCTCACAGTGCACGCATCCTTCCCCCTCAGAATAAGCGTGCCTTCCGTCTTCCGCTTTTTGACGTTGATCACCATCCTGTGCTTGGTGAAAACATCGACGAGAGCACGAAAGAGGGCACACACACATATATAGATATATACATATATATATATATATACAAGACTGCAGTGGCGCTTCGCGCCATGCACCTTGGTCCTTGAAGATTGGTATGCAGGCGGAAATGGCAGGAAGGTCAAGCGGACAATTTCGCGATAACTCCTTGCTGCCTTTTCTGGCATCGCCGTTATAATCATTTTGTTCGTTATCCCTCCTCCATGCTTATTTTTCTTCATTCTCGCCATACCCTGGGTATTCTCCCCATCCTCAGCTCTTTTTGCGGAGGCTCCTCCTTGGAGAGTCTCTGGGGGCCTCCCCAAAGTTCTCAGGCTTTCTTAAAGCCTTCTGGAGGCCTCCTGGGCGTGTTCTGGGGGCCTCTGGGCCTTCCTAAGGCCAATCTGCCTCTAACCGCAGTCTCCCTGAACGCCCCGGTCACGATTTGGAATGCTTCGGAGGGTGTCTTGGGGCCATCTTGGGCCGCCATGGGGCTCTCTTAGGGCTATTTTGGACCCCTGTTGTGCCGTTCTGGGGCTCTCTTGGACTGCCTGGAAGCTCTTTCGGATGGTTGCGGGGCGATTTTGGAGCCTCCCAGGAGACTTCGGACGCCCAGAAGACCGCTGTCTTGGAGCGTCGGGAAGCCGAAAAGAGGAGAACCCGAAATTCACCAAAAACCTACATTAAATCGATGATTATTCCCTCTTGTGGCCTTCTTGGGGGTGCTCTTGGAGGCCTCTTGGTACGTTTTAGAGCGGTCTTTCGGGGTATGACGGCTTCTTGGAGCGCTCTTGTGTTGTCTTGGGGTTCTCTGGGACGTCTCCGATGACCCCCCTGATCGCCCTAGGTGTGCTGCGAAGGCTTGGCATAACGCCCTGCGAGGCCCGGGGGGCCGCTTCGAGGCCCGTCCGAAGGGTCTCAAAGCCCCAGATCCTGGGAGTCCGTTTTTTTTTTGGGGGGGGGAGACGGATTTCCCCCCCGCCGGGGTTAGCAAAAATATAGGAAGAGGAATTTATATATATGTATAGGTATACATTTATATGTATATGTATGTCTGTCTGTCTGTCTGTCTGTCTGTCTGTCTGTCTGTCTGTCTGTCTGTATGTATATATGTATGCATGCATGCATGCATGCATGCATGCATGCATGCATGTAGGCAGGTAGGTAGGTAGGTCTGTCTGTCTGTCTGTCTGTCTGTCTGTCTGTCTGTCTGTCCGTCCGTCCGTCTGTCTGTCTGTCTGTCTGTCTGTCTGTCTGTCTGTCTGTCTGTCTGTCTGTCTGTCTGTATGCATGCATGCATGCATGCATGCATGCATGTATGTATGTATTTATGTATGTATGTATGTATGTATGTATGTATGTATGTATGTATGTATGTATGTATGCATGTATGTATGTATTTAGATATCGATATACATATATATATATATATATATATATAGATTGCACGCAGCATAACATGAGGGGAATAAGCATACATAACGATGTCCAGGTCATCTGCTCCTCCTCCTCCTCCTCCTCCTCCTCCTCCTCCTCCTCCTCTTCCTCCTCCTCCCCCCTCCTTCGCTGGTGCATATGGCTCGGGCGGCCCCCTTCAACTGGTGCTGCGCTCCTCCTCCTCCTCCTCCTCTTCCTTCTCCTCCTCCTCCTCCTCGTTCCCCTCCTCCTCCTCCTCCTCCTCTCCTCCTCCTCCTCTTCCTCCTCCCCCCTCAGTCCCCCGCCTCCTTGTCTCCCCCTCCTCCTGCTCCTCCCGCTTCCGCCCTCCTCCCCTGGCTCCCGCCCCCGCCCCTGCTGCCTTCCCTTCCTCCGTCCCCCCTCCGCCCTCGCAGGGCGGCCGCACCGACGACAGCCTCGGCATCATCCCCCGCTCCGTGGCGGACGTCTTCGGCTACATACAGGACCGGCAGGGGCCGCACACCAGCTTCCGGGTGCCCAGCCGCGGCCCCCCTTTGCCCCCCTTCCTTCCGCTCGCCTCCGCCTTCCCGCCCCGCTCCTGCCCACCCCTCCCCCACCCTCTCGGGGGCGGCCAAGAGTCAAGGGCTTAAAAAACGCCCCTACCCTCGTGATGAGGCGCTGTGCGCTGAAACTCCTGTGGGCTGACAGGGTAAACCCTGCCTGATGTGCGGCGTCCTGGCGTCCTCTAGGTTTTGGGGGTTCCCAGGAGGCTTACAAACCACGCACTTGTAACCCAGGGTAGGGTCGTTTTTTCATCCCTCAAAAGAGGGGGGTGATGACTAGGGGGGGGGGTGGATATCATGGCGGGGGCCACGATATCTCCCCAGATTTCACACGGCGCCTCTTCTTATCCCAAGGCGTCCCCGGCCCCCCCCCCTATGGGCCGCGCACGTGCCTCCGGCCACGATTCGCGCCCCGACGCCCCCCCCTTGGCCGCCCCCGACTCTGCACTCACGCCCCCCTCCTGTCTCGCTGCCGCTCCGGCTCCCCCCCCCCCTCCCCTTCCCGCTGCCCTGTCCCTTCCGGTGGCTCCCCTTCCCGCTGCCTCCCCTTCCCGCTGCCTCGCCTTCCCGCTGCTTCCCCTTCCCGTTGCCCTCCGACTCCCCCCCCCCGCTGCCTCCCCTTCCCGCTGCCCTGTCCCTTTCCCCTCCCCGCCCCTGTCGTCGGGCTGAACAGGACCCCCAACGAAGCTTCGGTGAGTTTTTGTCATGCTCCCGGTCACGTTTTTTTTTTTTTTTTTTTTTTTTTTTTTTTTGCGCGCTTCTCCGCTGGCGTTGTGGGCGCAAAGTCCAGGACGAGAGGTCTTCGTCCCAGACTTGTCGTCTTCGCCCTCGCAGCTTTTCCTCTCGACGGGCTGCCCGGCGGTGCGAAGGAGGAGTGGCGGAGGGTGCATGTCCAAACGACTGGGACGGCCTGCAGAGTTCGACGCGTGAGACGGTGAGGGAAGGGGAGGGGAGACGAGAGCGAGGATGATGATGGGGAGAAGGAGGAGGAGGAGGAGGAGGAGGAGGAGGAGGAGGAGGAGGAGGAGGAGGAGAAGCAGGACGATCAGGAAGAAGAGGAGGAGGAGGAGGAGGAGGAGGAGGAGGAGGAGGAGGATCAGGATCAGGAGGAGTATCAGGATGATAATGAGGAGAAGGAGGATAATGATGATGATAATGAGGAGGGGCAGGTTCCTCCCTCCTCCCTACTCTAGCTGACTCCATCCATCCTCCCTCCTCCTTCGTCTCTCTGGCCTTGTCCCTGTCCTTCCTCCCTCATGTTTCTCCCCCATTCCTCTCTCTCTCTCTCTCCTCCTCCCTGTCTTCCTCCCTCCTCCCTTCTCCCCTCCAGTCTTCCTTCTTTCTCCCTCCTCCCTCCCTCCTCTTACCGAGTGTAACTGTCGTCAGGCTTGGGTCACACATCCGCCTGATTTATCATTGCCCTTCTTCCACCTTTCCCCCATTCACTCCTCTTGCTCCCTTGCTGTCCGTAGCCTCGATGGCTCTAGGATTTGACATTTAGGCACAGGCTTTTTTTGATGCCTGCCCTGTTTAGGTCGACACTCGAGCGCGTAAGAGCCCAGAGACACTCGTTGCAGCACCAATCGGCACCAGGTTCATCTCTTGTACTGGTGAGCCAGGTGGGCTCTCACGTGCGTGCGCAGGCTGTGCGCTGGGCGCGCCGTGTCATCATCGACGTTGCCTTTGTGATAAACGGTTGCAGTTCAAGTCATTGTGCTGACACTCCTCAGAACATATTTGGGTCAAATGATTATCAGGTGAAGGCAACTGCACTTGCACATGCATATCCTGAAAACTTTGAGTCATAGATGCAGGGCCCTCCTCCCTCCCTCCCTCGCTTCCTCCCCCAGCATCAAGAACAATCGGATGAAACCATCAGATGGAACATCACTTTTCCCCAAACAGTGCTTGCACTGAGTAGCTCCTGCTTCTCTTCTAAGGGACTGGGCCTGGTTGTCGGTCTGGCAGGCTTGTTGCCGCCCGTCGCCGCCCGTCGCCGCCGTCCTTGGTCACGACGTTGATCGTCCGAGGCTCGCACCCCAAACAGGGCTTGCACTCGGGGATTCTTCTCCTCTAAGGAACCGGGCCTTGTCATCGGTCCGGCCCGCTTGTGGCGGCCCTTCGCCGCCCGTCGCCGCCGTCTTTGGTCATGATGTGGATTGTGAGGCTCGCTCTTTGCATTGCTTTGCATTACATTGCTTTGCATTGCTTTGCATTGCTTTGCATCGCTTTGCATTACGTTGCATTGCTTTGCATTGCTTTGCATAGCTTTGCATTGCGTTGAATTGCATTGCATTGCGTTGCATTGCGGTGCCTTGCTTCGCATTGTCTTGCATCGCTTTGCATTGCTTTGCATTGCTTTGCATGGCTGTGCATTGCTATGCATTGCTTTGCAGTGCTTTACATTACATTGCCTAGCATTGTATTGCTTTGCATTGTTTTGCATTGCTTTGCATTGCTTTGCGTGTCTTTGCATTGCTTTGCTTTGCATTGCTTGACATTGCTTTGCATGCTTTGCATTGCTGTGCATTGATGTGCATTGCGTTGCAACACATATATCCTGTCGCACGAGTTGCACCATCTAGATTGCGCCGCATTGATTGCACCATCTTGATTGCACCGCATATAATGCAGCAACTCACTGTTTGCGGTCCACGCTGGTTAACATTGAGTTCTGGTGTATAAGAGAACAGTGCGCGGAGAGGGTCCAGCATCTTCCGGACACGATCAGGGGAGAGATGAGAGCAGTATTCATAATGTGTAATGCGTCTTGGAAGGATCGCTGGTTATCGTGGCAGCCGCGTGGCGGTTTTCCAGGCAGCGCCCAGGAGTTCTGGCATCCCGCGGCGGACTTGACCAGGAGTTGCCCGCCGCTTCTTTCCCCCTGCGACCGCAGGAGTAGGAGCTGCCACGTGCGTCCGATCGAGAGAGCTGTAGAGTTTCCGAGAACCTCTTGCTGGATGTTTCGGAACCAAAAACAAACATAATGTATAATTGTCGAGACGGGGCAGGGGCAAGGAGGGGGAGATCGGGGGTGGACAGAACCCCCACCCTGACACGTCGATTAGTGAATTGTCCGTTTTCGGTTCTCGATAGGGCGCTGCGGCCATCATTTTCCAGGCTTGCGCCCGCTAGGTTTGGGCCCGAGGTCGTTTTCATTAAACCACGTTTTACAGAGGGCGTTCTGTCCATCCCCGAGTCGAGGCGGGGCAGGGGCAAGGATGGGGGAGACGGGGAAGATGCCGCCTCCTGCTTCTCCTGCGCTGGGGCGGGCGCGGGCGAGGGCTCGAGTGGTGTCTCTGCTCGGTGGCTGCTCGGTGGGCTTCGGCCCTCCTCTCCGCACGTGGCCGGGAAGGGGTTCTGGGGCGCCGAGCTGGGCAGCTGGCCCCCAAAACGACCCTGGGTCCGTTCTGCGGCCTCTGAAGGGAGGGACACCAGAGAAGGAACGCGCGCGACCTCTGGGGCCATCCTGGGGCGACCTTTGGGGCCGTCCCGGGCCGTCGGAAGACCGAAGAGAAGCAAATGCCAAACTCCTTCAAACATTTTCTTTTGGTAAAAAACAGGAAATCAGTAATTTCGGCTTCTTCGGGCCTTCTGGGGGGCCTCTTGGGCCGTCTTGGAGGCCCTCCGCCTCGCCTCCCCGCCACCCAGCGCGCGCCGTCGCGAGCATGTCCTCCCACAGGCGGACTTTGGAGGAAGAAGGACAAATTACCCCAAAAAATGCGGGGGCGGCAAAGAGGGGGGTGATGACTAGGGGGGGTGGACATCATGGCGGGGGGCATGATATTTCCCCAGACTTCATGGCGCCTCTTCTTATTTCATTACGTCCCTGGTCCCCCGCTGGGCCGCGCACATGCCGCCGGTCATGATTTGCACCCCCCCTCTTGGACACCCCTCCTTTTGGCCGCTCCCGAAATTATCAAAAATGTGCAAAAGTATTTGAAACATAATCTAAACATAATCTCCAGACTATTTTCTGACTACTTTTGAATCTTCCTCCCGCAGAGGGACGTGCCCGACTTAACGCCACGCGCCTTCGCGGCCGAGGACGGGAGGGCCTGCGCGCGCCCTCCCAGGGCACAGCGGGTGGCCCCGGCCAGGCGCGCCGGCAGTGTTGTGTGCAGGTGCCTTCTGCGCAGCAGAAGGGCGAGCTGCCTTGACCTTCGCTGGCGCGAGCTGCCTGGAACAAAAGCCCAACTCGTTTTTTTGGGGGGTCTTGGGTGTTTTTTCAGAGGGTTCTGGGGCGCCCTACACTTAAAGCACACAGCTATGCCTCGACCCCCCCCGGAGAACCTCCGGAAAACAACCCGAACTCTGGGTTTTTTCTGGAGTCTTTCGGGTGTTCTCTGGCCAGCCCAGGCTCCAGGATTCTCCAGGCGGGGGGGGGGGCATGCCCCCCCTCCCCGCCCAGTCGCCTGCGCGCGCGTGCGCTCCCGCGCCCGCGGGAGGCACCGCGCCGCCTGCTGAGAGGCTTCGGCCACGACCGGGGAGGCGGCAGTGGTTGGCGGCACCCGCAAAGGGATGGCCAGAAGGGTGCAGGCTTCCAAGACACCGGCGGGGCTTTCTGAGAAGGCAGGGGCCTTTGTAGAAGGCCCCAGGGGCTTCTAAGAAGACTTCCTAGAAGCCGGGCGGACTTCTGAGAAGGCACCTGCCTTCCAATGCGCCCCCCCTGCGTGCTCAGAATGCCGCCCCCCTCGCGCCGCCTCCTCGTGGGCGCCGCCGAGGTGGGCGAGGAGGAGGAGGAGGAGGGGGAGGAGGAGGAGGGGGAGGAGGAGGAGGAGGAGGAGGAGGAGGAGGAGGAGGAGGAGGAGGAGGAGGAGGACCTGTGTAAACCAAAATGACATCAGCGATGTTGCAATATACACCCTCTGCGTTACCTTTTTAAAGGTCTCTACAGTAGTTTGTTTGCACTGCGGGAAGTGCCGCATTGGACGATAGCCGTCTTAGAGTCGTCACTCGTGCCGAAAAAGAATTTTTGGGACTTCAGCGCCGCAGATTCACGTGACTGGTGCGTCCTGGGAATCCGAAATCGTGCCAGAATGCCGTTTCTGGGAGTTCAGCGCCGCGAATCAACGTGACTGTAGTTTCTTGGCAATTCTTAATCGTGCCGGAACGCTTTTCCTGGGACTTCAACGCCGCGCACCAGCGTGGGTGTCGCGTTTTGACAAGCCTCAACTGTGCCAGAGCGCCGTTCTTGGGACTTCAGCCATGCGAGCCTTTCAAACCGTTGCAAGCTTTTAAGACGAGTGTGCGCGACGCTAAGGCGATAGACACATTTTGAAAAGGAGCCGCCCTCCATCCTCGAAGCTGTTGCACACTTGAAGACGACTGTGCGCAGCTCTAAGGCGAGAGCCACGTTTTGGAAACCACCCGCCCTCCACCCGTGAACGGGTTGCAAACTTTCAAGACGAGCGTGCGCGACGCCAAAGGGATAACACATCTTGGCAAGGAGCCGCCCTCCATCCTTGAAACTATTGCAGATTTTTAGGACAACTGTCAGGAGGAGAACAAAAACACAGACACAATTAATCGTGGTTTCCCCAGAAAATATGGGAAAATATGGGCAGTGGGGGGGAAGACAGAAACCCAGAAAAAAAATGAAAATATGGGACATACTTTTTTGTGTGTATTTATTTGTGAGTCCCAGGGCCCCCTCAAGATGTGCGCGGCGCCAGAGCGAGAGCCAAGTTTTGAAGACGGTCCGAGCCTCCACCCGTGGAGCCGCTGCACATCTCCAGCTGCAAGATGTCATAGTTGGTGAGGAGCTCTCCGGCGAAGCGCCGGGTCCGCCCTACCGACACGCCTGGGGGTTCGAAAGGCCGGGGGCGGCAAAGAGGGGGGTGACGACTAGGGGGGGGGTGGACATCATGGCGTGGGCCATGAGATTTCCTCGGATTTCATGGCGCCTCTTCTTGTTTTATGACGTCCCTGGCCCCCCCCCTCGGGCCGCGCACATGCCGCCGGCCATGATTTGCGGTCCCCCCCCCCCCTCTTGGACGCCCCCCTCTTGGCCGCCCCCGAAAAGGAAGCATGTATATGACGATGACGATGGTGATGACGATGACGATGCTGCTGATGATGATGCTGCTGATGATGATGATGAGCACGACGATTCTGATGATGATGACGACGATTCTGACGATGATGCTGATGATGATGACGAGGCTGATGATGATGATAAGGATGGTGATGATGATGCTGATGCTGATGATGATGACGATGATGATGATGATGACGATAGTGATGATGATTGTGATGATGATGACGATGATGATGATGATGATTACTATGATGACGATGACGATGACGATGACGAGGACGATGATGATGATGACGATGATGATGATGATGGTGATGATGGTGGTGGTGGTGGTCATGATGATGATGATGATCATGATGACGACGATGACGACGACGACGATGATGATGATGATGATGATGATGACGTCGATGACGACGACGATGACGATGATGATGAAGATGAAGATGATGATGGTGATGCTGATGATGATGATGATGATGATGATGATGATGATCATGATGATGATGACGACGATTCTGACGATGATGCTGATCATGATGACGAGGCTGATGATGATAATGATGATGATGATGATGCTGCTGATGATGATGATGATGATGACGATAGTGATGATGATTGTGATGATGATGACGATGATGATGATGATTACTATGATGACGATGACGATGAAGATGGTGATGACGATGACGAGGACGATGATGATGACGATGATGATGATGATGGTGATGATGGTGGTGGTGGTGGTCATGATGATGATGATCATGATGACGACGGTGACGACGACGATGATGATGATGTTGATGATGATGATGATGATGATGATGATGATGATGACGTCGATGACGACGACGACGATGACGATGATGATGATGAAGATGAAGATGATGATGGTGATGATGATGATGACGATGATGATGATGATGATGATGATGATGTTGATGATGACGATGATGATGATGATGGTGATGGTGATGATGATGATGATGATGATGATGATGATGATGAAGATGACGACGATTATGATGATGATGCTGCTGCTGATGATGATGATGATGAGGATGATGATGATTCTCATGATGATGATGGTGATGATGATGATGATGATGCTGATGATGATGATGGTAATGATGATGATTATGATCATGATGATGAAGATGACGACGATTATGATGATGATGATGGTGATGATGATGATGATGATGCTGATGATGATGATGATGATGATGATGATGATGATGGTGGTGATGATGATGATGATTATGATGATGATGATGATGATGATGATGATGATGATGATGATGATGATGATGATGATGATGATGATGATGATGATGATGATGATGATGATGATGATGATGATGATGATGATGATGATGATGATGATGATGATGATGATGATGATGATGATGATGATGATGATGATGATGATGATGATGATGATGATGATGATGATGATGACGACGATGATGACGATGATGTTGGAGGGCTAGGTTCGGTTTGGCCATGCTCAGCCGGGGGAGTGGCGCATCCCATGAGCGCGGTCCAGGGGGAGGCGGGGAAGAGTGGGCGTGGGGGGCCGCCCCTCGTCCCCAGACGATCCTTCCGCCGAGTCGCCGCGTCTCGGGGGCCCCCAAACGGGGTGGTGACCACACCGTGTGGTGAGTCGGTGGGGATTCGGGGTCACCGCACGGTTATGGGACTCGAGTCCCTCTCCGAGGATGTCTCGGGCGACAGGGGCCTCCAGGGTCCCAAGACCGTGCGGTGACGGACCGTGCGGTGAGGTCTCTTGGGGTTCCGAGGTCACCGCCCGGTCTGTCACCACACGGTTTTGGGGTCTCCAAGCGTCAGAGTCGTGTGCGCCCCGGGGGTTATCCCCAGAGGATCTCCGCCGTTCCGTCTCCGCTCGCCTGTGGATGCTTCGACCAGTCCGTCTGAATCGTTTTTGGCTGTCCTGTGTGGCGTGGTGAAAAAAGGGGGGGAGGGAGGGAGGAGGACAGGGGAGGATGAGGAGAAATAGGAGTAGGAGTAAGAGTAATAGTAGAAGTAGGAGTATGAGTTGGAGTAGGTGTAGAAGTTGGAGTAGTATTAGTAGTATTATTAGTAGTAGTAGTAGTAGTAGTAGTAGTAGTAGTAGTAGTAGTAGTAGGAGTAGTAGGAGTAGTAGTAGTAGTAGTAGTAGTAGTAGTAGTAGTAGTAGTAGTAGTAGTAGTAGTTGTAGTAGTAGTAGTAGTAGTAGTAGTCGTAG